CTTGTCCCTCAAATCATTTCTTGCAACAGCTCAAACTCAACTCACGTTAGTACGTATTGCTCATTTTGGCCCGTTATATATCATTGTCAGTCTCACGATTTTAAAACGCATCTACGAGGAGATGTTTCTATACCCTTAGAATGTTGGAAGTGGACATGGGATTTCAAATTCGTTAAACATGAGCAACATTCTCTCCTCTAAAACTGTTTCCAAATTCGGCCCAGCCCATTCAACATTCTCATTTCTCTGTTTCCAAATTGGGCCGAGCCCATTCAACATTCTATCTTCTCTGTTTCCAAATTGGGCCCAGCCCATTCAACATTCTCAATTCTCTGTTTCCAAATTCGGCCCAGCCCATTGCAACTTCAAACCTGCAGTTGACAACAGATCCTTCCCCATCCGTTTTTCTAATTAGCCCGCCATTGCCCAATCCTCTTCTTCCTTCGCCCACATCTCACCTTTCTTCTCCAGTTGTCAACAATGGCAACCTCCGCGCCATCGTCGACATCAACATCATCCACGGGTTGGATCAGAAGTCTTTCTCCGGTTCGCATCTCGCATCTATTTCTTTCTAATCATACGTCAAATCCCTCTCTTCAGGTGTGTTTTCATTTTCTTTCCCCCTCTTTTTTTCGCACTCTGATAGTAGGAATGTCTACTCGCATGTTTTGTTAGCGTTAAAAAATTTGGATTATATGAGAGCCATGCCTTGTCAGTATCACTCGCTTTGGCATCTGTATCTTCACTTGTTTGTTGCCGTTGAACACTGAATTTCTGTCCTATTTCATGCGACTTTGTATATGTTTAATTGGCTGGTTCTCGGAAAGAAGAATTGTAAAGATTGAATTTCTTTTAGCTTAACTGTTAGTCGTCATTTGACGCGATGTCACAGTAGGAAATTGGGGCTTAAATAACTATATCTTCATACAAGTAGTTTATGTGTTGAGTGTCGTGAATTTAAAACTAATTTGCGAGGAAACACCGGAAGGGAGTGTGTTGAAGAATGGGATGAAAAGATTGGATAGCTTAAGTTTGTGCCATTTTTCTAAAGAAAATTTTCATTTGAACCTTCGATTTAATGCTTTACGCATTTCAAGTGCTTTCCACTGCTTGCGAATTAATGGCTATTCCTATTGAAAGAATAATGTATCATGGATCTAAGTCGTAGCAATTCCATACGTTTGGGATGTTCCCTTACGATCTCAGTCGAATCAAGAAAACCTTTTGGATTCATGAATACTTTTGGTTCATTGCCCATTTTGATTCATGAATCTATTGGATTCATATTGTTATAAACGTAGAGTCAGTTTCATTTTGTATTTGCCTAGAGACAATTGAGAGGAATCTTGTAAGTGAGATTTTGTAGGGTGAGAATGCAAGAGAAACACTTTGGTTATAGTTATTGGCTAAGATCAATAGAGAATTTCTCTCTTAACTATGTAAATCTTTACGTCTTTTTGTTCATTTATTTTTGTGGGTGTGTGAGTACGATCGATATTGCTTCCGCTTCTGTTACAATATTAACTCCTCCATGTGATAATTTGTGAGGCCCCATCACTTGGTTATCAGGAGCTTGCCTTCTTATTTCTTCCACTTCCAATACCTTCTCTTCTTACTCCACAACTCTTTTTCTTTCTTATCTTCTTCCCATAGTTATTTGATAGAGTCTTCGTAACTAAGACAAAATAAGACAAAATAATGGAGATTTGAGAGATGTTTGGTATGTACCTAGTACTTAAAGGACATTTATGACATGCTAACGAGTTTAAATGAATTGTGATTGGAGAAGGAGAACCATAAGTTTGAAGGAAAAGTAGGAGGAAGGGTGACTCTTCAATGGTTTGAAATAGAGGACCCATCATCTCATTGTCCTTTCTTTCCTCATCTTCATTTGCTACCGACACTTTCTTCCATCAATTTGCAGGGTACTTCTTCCTCTCTCTCTTTTTCTTTTCTTCCTTATTTATAAATTAGTTTCTTTGAGTTGGGTTTGAAACCCCAACCATGCCTATTCCTATGTATATTTCTTATTTAGTTAGATTTCTCTTTATTCAAGCAGATTTTAGAACGTGGATGTTTCTGTTCAAATGGAAAATAGTTATATTAGATTTCATCAAGCAAACGACATATCTTACAATATGGTAGAAATTCTCGAGGTTGAAAAAATTTGTGGTAACGTTGTGATGTCCATAAGATACTGGCTAGAACAACTACCTCATGTTAATCTAGAATTTTAGCATCTATCGAGTTCCCAAACTACTATGTGAGATGAATAATAAAACCTATATCCCCAAATCATTTCCAGTGGTCCACTTTACTATCGTAGTCGAAAGGATTTGTTAGTCATAGAACGATATAAGCTTCAAGGTCTTAATAACTTTCTAATTCGTCTTGATGACAAGATGAAACATATGAATAATTTGATAAACCCATGGGAGGTCCTTGTAACAATTACTCAATGTCATGTGGAAGAAGATCGAAATTGTTACGTAGAACCCATAAACTTGAGTGACCAGGATTTTGTTGAAAGGATGATTGTGGATGATTATGGCTCAACCAACTGCATTCTCTAAGATTCCAAATAAGATTCCAAACAATGTTGATTTTTTATTGGTAGGTCTTGTTTGGATTAAGTTGGAAATTCAAGTCCCTTTCTCTATATGTTCGACCTTATGCTAGAAGATGCCTCCATCTCCTGTATACATCTTGCACGCGTGTTTTTATAATATGGATTGGTACATAAATATGAACTTTCTTGTACCTCGTTGATAATACTAAAGCACTTCGTTGATTTCTTAAACTTGTATTTTGTCGTTCCCCTAAGGTCTCTGGTGGACAACATTGATGAAACCAATTTTAATATTCCTCCATCGGTAACTAAGCTTTGCCAGTCTGGTCTCACCATAAAAAAAAAAAAAAAATCGATATTTATATATTGATGCTAACTTTGAAACCATGACGTGAAACTTGATAGCATTTGAGCAACTTTCCTTAGCAAATGAGAGTGTATCCAATATATCATATTTATGAATGATTTAATAGGTATAGAGTCAGGTTATGAGTTTATTTGTGAAAGCTGGAATCATGATCAAAGATATTAGAGGTAGTGATAAAGAAGTTTCAAAATTATTAACGATATCTGTAAATTTGCTACAGTCCCAAATAATTACAACTTCAACGATATCAGTACTAGCAGCCTTAGATGAGCACTATAGTAGATGTTGGAACAAGGTGAAAGCTACACTCAAACATGACTATTTTTATACACTATGGGCTTTTATCTCTGTTTTTTGTGCAATCTAGGTCATTTTTCTCACATATTAATGTGATATTGATTTTGTCTCGTAAACTTAATCTTTTAACTTTATAACTAATATACAAATGGATCATAATAATATTTATTTTCTGAAAAATGGAAAGCACGAAAAAGAAAGCGAGGAATGGAAAGGAAAGGAATCTCAATATATGTAGTTAAAGACGAATCTCAATATATCATGAAGAAATGGAAAAGAAAAATGGGAAAAATGGGAAACATGAAAGGAATCTCAATATATGTAGTTAAAGACGAATCTCAATATATCATGAAGAAATGGAAAAGAAAAATGGGAAAAATGGGAAACATGAAAGGAATCTCAATATATGTAGTTAAAGATGAATCTCAATATATCATGAAGAAATGGAAAAGAAAAATGGGAAAAATGGGAAACATGAAAGGAATCTCAATATATGTAGTTAAAGACGAATCTCAATATATCATGAAGAAATGGAAAAGAAAAATGGGGAATCTCAATATATGTAGTTAAAGACGAATCTCAATATATCATGAAGAAATGGAAAAGAAAAATGGGAAAAATGGGAAACAGTAGTTAAAGACGAATCTCAATATATCATGAAGAAATGGAAAAGAAAAATGGGAAAAATGGGAAACATGAAAGGAATCTCAATATATGTAGTTAAAGAAGAAATGGAAAAGAAAAATGGGAAAAATGGGAAACATGAAAGGAATCTCAATATATGTAGTTAAAGACGAATCTCAATATATCATGAAGAAATGGAAAAGAAAAATGGGAAAAATGGGAAACATGAAAGGAATCTCAATATATGTAGTTAAAGACGAATCTCAATATATCATGAAGAAATGGAAAAGAAAAATGGGGAATCTCAATATATGTAGTTAAAGACGAATCTCAATATATCATGAAGAAATGGAAAAGAAAAATGGGAAAAATGGGAAACAGTAGTTAAAGACGAATCTCAATATATCATGAAGAAATGGAAAAGAAAAATGGGAAAAATGGGAAACACGAAAGGAATCTCAATATATGTAGTTAAAGACGAATCTCAATATATCATGAAGAAATGGAAAAGAAAAATGGGAAAAATGGGAAACATGAAAGGAATCTCAATATATGTAGTTAAAGACGAATCTCAATATATCATGAAGAAATGGAAAAGAAAAATGGGAAAAATGGGAAACACGAAAAATATCTTGGCCTGGATTTTAAGCCACTTTCCTCGACCTTTAAAAATTGGAAGGAATCTCAATATATGGATGTCATTTAGAAAAGAAAAGAAAAGACGAGAAAAGGGGTTGGAAAAATTAAGCATAATGCTATAGTATATAGTAAAAAGGTGCTTCACCAATGCTTCTATGTTCAAATACTTAGAAAATTTTTAGAAAACTTCAAACCATTTTGATTTTCAATATAGGATGATAACAAACTCTTAATTTTTCTTTCAAATCAATTGATTAGTACATTTGGTACACAAATAACACAAATAAGAAATAGGAGATATGATTTTAAATTGATATACTTGTAGCAATGAATCCTCTATTAGAGATATGCATACGTAGACATTTGATGCGACATATCTTAAAATTTAAGAGAAATAGGAGGGCCATGTAGACATTTGATGCGACATATCTTGAAATTTAAGAGAAATAGGAGGGCCACTTTGACATTTGATGTGACATATCTTGAAATTTAAGAGAAATAGGAGTGCCGTAAGTTTAAAAGAAAGTTGATGGAATAGAAGAGGGGGTGGAATAATTAGAAATAGATGAGTGGGTGGAATAATTAGAAATAGAGGCCTGAACTTTTCATTGCCTTTTCGTTGTCTATGTTTATTCCTCCTCATGATCGTTTATGTTCGATGCCCATTAGTAGTATTCGTGGTTATCGGAAGCTTGCCTTATTAGTTCTTCCACTTCCATACCTTCTCTTCTTACTCCACACCTCTCTTCCATTCTTCCCTCATTTTCGTTCACCACCGACGTCTTCTTCCCTCAATTTGCGGACAAGGTAACCTTTCAGTGCATTAAATTCATTTTTGCTTCCTTATTTTAGATCATTTTAAAAATATATATGCATTACTCTTTATTTAAGGAGATTTAAAAACGTGAGATTGAAGCTCATCAAACAAACGACATACTATGATGTTGTAATATCCATTAAAAAAACGATGGAGCAACTGCCTCCCGCTAATGTAGAATGTAGTATCTATTGAGTTTCTAAATTGTTACGTAAGATGAATAATGCAGCCTATACCCCTCAAGTCAATTCCATAGACCAATTTCACCATTGTAGTCGAAAGGATTAGCTAGCCACAAAACAATATAAGTTTCAACACCGTGTTGACTTTCTAAACTGTCTAGATAACAAGATGAACTCATGGGAGTTCCTTGTGAAAACTACTCAAAGTTGGGTGAAAGAATCTCGAAATTACTATGCAGAACCCATAAACATGAGTGATGAAGATTTTCTTAAAATGATGCTTGTGGATAGTTGTTTCATAGTGGAGTTTTTGATACATCATGACCAATGCTTCTCAAATGTTTCCTCCGAGACCCAAAACAATTTAGATCTTTCCTTCCACCAAAGATATGATGAGATATATATTGATTTGGTTATGTTGGAAAATCTAAGTCTTTTTTTTTTTTTTTGTTCTTCAAGGTCTATTCCATCTTATACACAAAATAAAACCTCCATCCCCTTTCTAACATTAACACGTGTGTTTACATTTGAATTTGTTGTCAATTATTCTCTTTCTCATCCATTGTTGATAAAATCAAAGCAGTTGGTCGATTTCTTAAGCTTCTACTTTGTCGTCCCTAATAAATCTCTAAAGGACAACAAAAATAATTATTGTCTGAGATCTCCTCCATCAATAATTGAACTTTATGAAGTTGGTATCACCATTAAAAAAGTAGAAAACGCCATAAATATGATGGACATAAACTTCAAAAATGGAATTCTAACAATCCAAGTTGCTCGTAGAAAGTGCTCAAACTTGGATGAAAGAAGCCTGAAATTGCTAGAGAACCCATAAACATGAGCTACGAGAATTTTTAAAAAATGATGTTTGTGGATGGTTGTTTTGTAGTAGAGTTTTTAATACGATATTATGAAAAATACTACCCAAATGCACCATCTCACACTCAAAAATGTTTAGACCATTCCTTATACCCAAGAAACCACAAGATATATAATGATTTGATTAAGTTAGAAAATCAAATCCCTTTCTTTGTTCTTGAACGTCTATTCGACTTTATACCACATAATAGTATCCCGTCTCCTTTATGGGTCTTGCATCTATATTTTTTCATCCTAAATTTGTAGATGATAATTCTCTTTGAAGTGACCGTTCTAAACACAAAATTGATACCACTTGTCTTTGTTTCTAGTGTCCTTGTTTCTCTATAGTTCAAAATGGAGCTCTTCATCCGTCCCAACACAAATGAGATCAATCAAGTAGAAATAGAAAATGAAACTGGTACTTCTGATCCCGTGGTAGTATCCATTAATCGTATTCTTCAACAACCTGATTCATCCTATTTTTTAGAAGGTATCATTTACAAGGTTCCAGAACCTCTGCGCAGCATGAACTCAGAAGCTTATACCCCCACTGCCATCTCTATTGGCCCTTTGCACTCCGGTAGAAAAGATCTTAAGGCTAATTCACTTAAACCCATATATCTTCGACACTTCCTTGATCTCGCCCAGCTCTCCGTGAACACAATTGTAGAAACAGTCCAGACTTTGGAACAAAGAGCTCGCTATTGTTACACAGAATTCATCGAGATGAGCAGGGATGAATTTGTGGAACTTCTCGTCTTCGATGCCTGTTTCGTGGTCATGCATCTCACCAGTTGGCAGTACCCAAATTTGGATACCCCAAACGCGGTGAATTTATGGCAATCTTGGAATGAAATATCTCATGATCTGATGCTGCTTGAAAACCAACTTCCCTTCTTCCTTCTCCAATCTTTATACGACCTCTTCGCCCCCTCTCAACCCTTACTAGAACATAAGAGTTTCATTCAAATTGTTCAATATTATTTCTCAGAACACAAAAACCCAAAGTTGTTTTTTATTGATATCAAACTTCTTTCGGTTGACGACGTGAAACATTTTGTTGATTTAGTAACAATGCCTAATACTCGTATGTATTCCCATGAAAAGTCCGGCCAACGCCTATTGTGGCCACTGAATGCCACCGAGCTCCATGAATGCGGCGTTATTTTCAGGAGCGGGGATGGTATAGAATTTAATGACCAAGGTGGGTGTCTACAACTACCGCCAATCAAGATTTACGACGATTTTGAAAAGCGTGTGAGGAACCTTATAGCTTATGAGCAATGCCATATTGGCAATGAGTTAAGGAACAGGGTGAGCAACTTTGCTGTGTTTATGCAGTGTTTGGTCCAGTCCGACCAAGACGTGAAATTGTTGATTGAGGGAGGGATCATAGAGAACTACTTGGGTGGTATCAATGAGATCACCCAATTATTCAACAACCTCGGTAAGCACATCTTCATTGGAATCAACTACTACAATTCTGATTGCAAAAAAATGAAAGATTATTGCATGCGCCGCCACCATCGTTGGATGACGTCGTTGCGACGCAATTATTTCAGCACGCCATGGCTCTGTGCTTCCTCCATTGCAGCCATCCTTCTCCTTGCCCTCACTCTTATACAAACCATCCTGGCTGTATTCACTAGATTCAAAGAACGTTCTTAATTGAATCTAATTCAAATGATGCTTTTCTGTGTTTAGAATTCAACAACTTCTCCAATTTGTTTAACCATATGTTCAACTTCCCTCTATTAAATTTATATTTAACGTTCATACTATAGTGACGTTATGTATAATATCCTCACTCTCAATAGTCAGATACAAGTCTATATAACATAAAAACGCAGGATGCCCATGACGTGTACGTGTGGGATGAACCAAATCCTCATTGAATTTTATTTTTCCATTAGAAGGAGCTCGTATATGTTCTGCAGTCCCCCCTGTGAATACTCCACGGGTATGAAAAGTTTTTAATGTTAGTTGAGTACCCGGTTCTCCAATAGATTGACCCGCAATAATACCTACGGCTTCTCGCAATAATACCCGGTTCTCCATCTATTTGAGTTCATATAATTATAAAAATAGAAACAATTATAATCGCAAATGGATCCAAGAAATAAAAAAAAAAAAAAAAATAGTTGTACTTTCTTCTTATAGAAAAAAATAAAAATAAAAATAAAATCCTAGTTTTCCATTCTTTTTGACTTACAGATTTCTACAGAATTAGTAGTCGTCTTCAAGCAAAACTTAAACAACAAAAGTAAGATTCAGATTATGTTATTGATCAAATATCTCAGGTTGAGATTTAAATCATTCTACAAGTAAAATCGATGATGTGTCAAGTTCCAATGATTTAATCATTGGCAAAAAAAAAAAAAAAAAAAAAAAAAAAAAAAAAAAAAAAAAAAAAAAAAAAAAAAAAAAAAAAAAAAAAAAAAAAAAAAAAAAAAAAAAAAAAAAAAAAAAAAAAAAAAAAAAAAAAAAAAAAAAAAAAAAAAAAAAAAAAAAAAAAAAAAAAAAAAAAAAAAAAAAAAAAAAAAAAAAAAAAAAAGTACTACATTTTCCAAATCTCCCCTACAAATATAACATACTTGGTTTTATGTAACTTCAAAATGAAATTTTTGACATTCCATCCTTAAAATACATTTCAAGAGTTTGTAACATTCATACTACCATAATTAGCGAGGTAAATGTAACCTAAATATAAGTAAAAAGACTTAAACTTAAAATACATTAATAAAACAGCATAAATTTAGTATTCAATCATATTTTATAATAAACGAAGTCCACTGGAAATGTCTTAAAGTCTTCGTTGCATAAACAAAACTTGATTCATCTTAATGTGACATTAATATTACACGTTAATATAATATAATGTTGAAGCTAGATTATTTCCTAAGTTGATAACAATTTTCTCAATTGAAGGAAAAAAAAAATTCTTCACATTAAATACGAGAGGTGGGCAAAGTTGAATTGGCACCCACGAGACACCAATTGCTTGCATGGACCCATATATGAAAACTAGACGGCCAATTTGACGTGTTTATGTCAATGTCAAATAATTAATGTCTTTTATTGTTTACTAATTCAATACTATCCTTATATTTTAAATTTTTACCATTGATTATTAATTTACCATTTCAAATTAAAACAAAAATTGTGAACAAAAACCATTACTAATTTTTTTTTTGTCCTTTCAATATTTGACGTGCCATTAAATTATATATAATTTTATGTCATAGACTCTCGACCCTTTTTTAATGCTTCTTCTATGAAAAACAATGAATGAACATATCGTAAAGGCAGGATAGCAACTTAAATATGACATTATTGTTTATTTTAAAACAAGCACAAGGTAGGAATTAAAAACAAGAAAGGCATATTACATGTATAGAGTTCTATTTAGGAAATGCAGATATACTAGAAAATATAGTTTGAAGGAAGGTTAGGATAACGAGCAAGATAGCACCTATAACAGAGATAGAAGCCCATGGTGTATAAAAATAGTCATGTTTGAGTGCAGCTCTCGCTCTATTGTAACGTCTATTGCAGTGCTCTCGCAAGGCAATACTGATATCGTTGAAGTGGGTACTATGTGGGACTATGACAAATTTACAAAGATCGTTGAACATTTTTAAAACTTCTTTATCACTTCCTCCAATATCGTTGATTATGATTCCGGCTTTCTCAAGTAAACTCACGTCTAACTCTGTGCTTATCAAATAATCCATGAATGTGATATATTGGATACACTTGCTCTCCTGTACTAAGGAAATTTGCTCAAATGCTATCAAGTTTCGAATTATGGTTCCAAAGATCATCAATATGTAAAGGTGGAATTTCGAAAACTCCATTTTTTAAAGCTTATGTCCATAATTAATTGGTCATCTTTTACTTTCTTGAGGGTGATACCAGCCTTGCGGAGCTTAGTTATTGATGTAGGAATAACAAATTTGGTTTCAGTAACGTTAACCATAGAAGACCACGGGGGAATGACAAAGAACAAACTTAAGAAATCGACAAAGTGCTTCGATATTATCATAAAAGTACTAGAAAGATGATATTTGTTAAACAATCCGTGTTGTAAAACACGTGTGCAAGTTGTATAACGGAGATGGAGACACCATCTTCTAATATAAGGTCAAGCATACGTTGAAGAAAGGAGAAGGGATTTGATTTTCGAGCTTAACAAAATCAAGATTTATATCAGGGATTCTTTTGTAGAATGAATAATCTACCTTGTTTGGAATTTTAGGAAAGGCAGTTGGATGGCTTTGACCATAATGTAGTATCAAAAACTCCACTATAAAACCACCCTCCACAATCATCATTTCAATAAAATCATTGTCATTCATGTTTACGGGTTCTGCATAGCAATTTCGATCTTCTTCTACCCAACTTTGAGTATTTTCACAAGATTCTCTAGTAGGTTCATTGAGTTATTCAAATGATTCATCTTATAATTTAGACGAATTAGAAAGTTATTAAAACCTTGAAGCTTATATGGTTCGGTGGCTATCAAATCTGAACTACAATCTGGACTACGATGGTGAAATGGGCCGATAGAAATGACTTGAGGGATATAGGCTTTATTATTCATCTCACGTAGCAGTTTGAGAACTCGATAGATGCTAGATTCTACAATAACCCGAGGCAGTCGTTCCAGCCTATCTCTTATAGACATCACAACATTTTCACAAATTTGTTCAAGCTCATGAATTCTGGCCAGAAATTTGCTCTTTGGTTGATGAACTTCAATATGATTATTTTCCATTTGAACTTAAAAACATCACGTTTTCAAATCAGCTCAAACACAAACAGCAATGCATATATACTTTAGAAACTTAACTAAATAATGTAAGAACTAAGAAAGATATGAAAGATAGATTTATGAGACTAATGTAATAGTTGTCACATCAAATTTTTTTTTATCAAATTATATGTAAACTCGATAATAGGAGATAGTTGTTCCATTATTTTTTTTTTTTTTTGATGAATATGACAATATTACCATAAAGTTGTTCCACTCTCTAACTTATTTCTGTCATATTGTAAGACATTTGTGGAGTAAGAAGAGAGAGGTATTGGAAGTGGAAGAAATATGAAGACAAGCTTTTGATAACCAAGGTATATTATGGTGGGCCTGACATAATGATCACATGGAGGTGTAGATGTTGTAGCAGAAGTGGAAGCAAGAGCGATCGTACTCATCTACCCACGAACATAAATGAACAAAGAGACACAAAAATTTATATGGTTTAAAAAAAAGAAATTCTTCTACATTTACGGGTGGTAGTCAATTACTATAACCAAAGTGTTTACAAGTGTATCTCTCACACTATCATACTTACAAAATTTCTCTCAATTGTCTCAAACTTGATAGGAAAAAAATGTTGGTGGTGAACGAAAATGAGTGAAGAAAGGAAGAGTCTTTTTAGAAGAAAACAAGAACCCAAGCCTATGGTCAAACTATAAGTTTAGTATTCTAATTTAGAGGTCCGTATCTATTTGGTTCATTTTTTTTAAAGTGCCTAATAAATATCTTCAATTACCTATTTAATAGGTGGCAAATATAACTTTGTGTCTAGTACACATAGAACAAGTACAATTTTTTTTTTTAAATATTCTATTAGATATAAATTTAAATTTATGTATTATGAAACTAAAAAATTTTAAATTTTGTCCCAATTTTAAAAATTAATGGCAATTTTTATCAGTCTATAAACTAAATAGAGTCCATTAATAGACTAAATTTATTATTTTAATTCATGTTAAATAATATATATAATTTTATGATTTAATAACCGGAAAGTTTAAGGATTTATTAGATAATTTTGAAATATTGAACTTGTATTTTAAATACCTATTTATTGAGAAAAAAGAAATTAACATAGGATTCTTTGAAAGTAAAAATTAAAATAAAAAATAAAAAATAAAATAAAATTGGGGAGGGGTTCTTTATGTTCCCCTATATTGATTTTTTGGGAATGTATTTTGAAGTGCAAGAGAAGTAAGCACAAACATATTTATTCTTTAGGTTACTTCATGCATATGGCCTAAAGTGAAGTTTCTTTTGGTCCCGTTTATTTATTTATTTATGTTATCCGTGTGTAACGATAAAAATATTTTTGATAAGAATTTAAAAAGTTATTTTAAATGTAGTCGTGCAGAATAAATTTATTACTTTTTTGTTTACTGCTAGCGAGAGGCCAACTTAATGTCTCGTTGTCATTCTACTCGATAAAACATTCTCTTTATCTTCTTAATCTTCTTAATCATACTGTATCGGACAGCTGGAATCTTCTAAAGGCATGTAATTTGTAATATAATATTTTTGAAAAGTAATACTCATATACTAAAAATTACATGAAAACATGTCAATTTAAAGTTATACTGAATCAAATTTGGGTCGATAATACTTTTATGATAACGGTAATGGTCAATAGATTCAAAATAAGAAAGTAAAATTAAGAACTAGTTTGTAAATGGGTTATCGTTTTTAAAGTACTCTCCATCCCTTTCCTTACTAATTTTAATCGTATTGTACGATGTGTTGTGTTATTTGCTTGTCGGTTGAAATGAAATACTCACGTTTTCATATATAATGTAATTAATACTTAACTAGATAAGAGAAGCAACATAGTAGAAGAAACATACATATATTATATGGATTTCTAAGGTCTAAGGTTTACTAGGAAATGCAGATATCCCAGAGAATATAGTTTGAGCGAGAGTTAAAATAATAAGCAAAGTTGCAGCACAGAAGGAGATGAAAGCCCATGGCGTATTACAATAGTTATGCATAAGTGAAGCTCGTGCCTTGTTCCATCGTCCATCACAATGCTTACGTAAAGCTTTGCTGGTATTGTTGAACTTACTGTTACATGGTAGTTCAACAAATTTGCAGAGATTGTTAAACAATTTTGAAACTTCTTTATTACTGCCTCCAATATGGTTGATTATGATACCAGCTTTTACAAGTAAATTCACGTCTTTCTCTGTGCTTATCAAATCATCCATAAATTCGATATATTGGATACACTTGTTTTCATTTTCCAAGGGAAAATGCTCAAATGCTATCAGATTTCGCATGGTGGGTTCGAAGACATCATCAATAGTTAAAGGTGGGATTGTGAAAATCCCATTTTTGAAGCTTAGGTTCATTGCATTTGTGACATTTTCTGCTTTCTTAATGGTGACACCAGCCTCATGAAGCTCAGTTATCGATGGAGGATTTATCTTGATGTCCTCTAGAGGCGTCTTGGGGACAACGAAGTAGAAGCTTAACAAATCGACAAAGTGCTTAGGTTTTTCCAATGGTGCCTTAGAAAAAGAACAATTGTAAGCAAATCCACATTCTAAAAATGTACTTGCTAATTCTATAAAGTGGACACAAGAGGTTATATTTGGTAGGAGGCCAAACAAACTTTCAAGAAGGAAGAAAGGGACTTGATTTTCCAACATAATCAAATCAGGAAATAGCTCGCTAGATCTTTGGTGGAAGGTAAGATCTAAATTGTTTGGAGTTTGGAAGCATGTATTTGGGTAGACTCCGTTATAATTTTCTATCAAAAACTCTACTAGGAAACAACCATCCACAACCATCATGTTAACAAATTCCTTATCATTCATGTTTATGGGCTCTCCATAGCAATTTCGAACTTCTTTCATCCAAGTTTGAGTATTTTTCTTAAGCAACTCCAATGAATCCCTCTCGTTACCTAGACGGCTTAGAAAGTTCAAACAACGTCGAAGCTTATATGGCTCAGTGGCTAACAAATCCTTTCGATGATGGTGAAATGGACCTATGGAAATGACTTGAGGGGTATAGGCTCTATGATTCATATTGCGTAACAGTTTAGGAACTCGAAAAATGCTACATTTTTCATTAACAGGAGGTAACTTATCTATCATTTCTTTTATGGGTGGTACAACATTACGACGAGGTTGTTCACCTTGTTCAGCTTCACTAATTCCTGCCATATTGTATGGTTTGTTGTTTACCTGATCAACTTCAATAGTCACAGCTTCACTAATTCCTGCCATATTGTATGGTTTGTCGTTTACCTGTTCAACTTCAATCTCACTATTTTCCATTTCAAACGAACCTCCACGTTTTCAAATTTCCTTGAATAAAAAGTAATGCATATATATTTAAAAGCGAAGGAAATTAAGGAAGTAAAAAGTGAATTTAATGAAACGAAAAGATACCTTTGTGTGCAAATTGATGGAAGATAGCGGTGGTAAATGAAAATGAGGGAAGGAAGTGGAAGAAATAAGAAAGCTAAGGTTGCGATGACCAAGTAAACTAACGGCGGCCTCATATATATGATCGCATGGAGGAGTAAAGCAGAAACAAGAATATCATATTCACACGTATGAACATAATAAGAAAGGAGTAAAGCGGATATAATAAGATGACGAAAAAATTTTAATCGTTCAGCAATTAATACGTCATTAAAGGATATATATAATTTAATTTATGGATCCTGAGCTTACAATGTTGCATGGTTTGTTGTATGAGAAACAAGAATGGAAAAGGAGTAAAGAAAAAGAGAGATTATGATTTTAAAAATGAAGAAAGGAATAAACAATTGAGTAATTAATAACTCCAAAATTCCCACTTTTATTAAAGTCACAAAATTAGAAAATCCAAATATTTATTTCCCTTTATCATACAATTAATTCTAACTCTTTATAAACATCTTTCCCTTGTATCATATTAATACTTTGGGTTAAAATAACTTAATTAACTAATAAAAAATAAAATATATACTTTCACTAAACCATCGATTGTCGACCCATCTCTAATTAATCATATCACCATTAAACCATTCGCTTTATTTGGATTAACGGATGAGGTTCTCTAAACCAATTAGAGCTAAACTGAGAATCTAATCCAATTTAACTTTATAATAATAATATTAATTAATTAAAATTTAGGTATTAAATTATTATATCTAATAAATAATACTTTTTTACTTCTGGAGTATTTTTTAAAAAATTGGTTATTCATTGGGCACAAATTTAAAATTTATTGTCTAGTAGATTTATTAATTTTAAAAAATGTTGAAAATACAAAGGATCTATTAGACACATGAACACAGTGATTTGACATTTTTAAAGTTTAAAATTAACTAAATTGAAAGTTTAAGATTTATTAGATACAAAAATAAATTTTGAGAGATTGAATTTATATTTTAAATACATAAAGTAAAAAATAAAATAAAAAAATAAAAAATAAAATAAATTTTGGGAGAGGGGTTCTATATGTTCACCTATCTTTTGTGATGTATTTTGAAGTGCAAGAGAAGTAAGCACAAACATGTTTATTCTTTACGTTACTTCACGCATATGGCCCTAAAGTGAAGTTTCTTTAGGTCCAGTTTATTTATTTATTTATGTTATCCGTGTAACGATAAAAATATTTTTGATAATAATTTTTAAAAATTATTTTAAATGTAGTCGTGCAAAATAAATATATTAATTCTTTGTTTACAACTAGCGAGAGGCCAACTTAATGTTCCATTTCTATTCTACTCGATAAAACATTCTCTTTATCTTCTTAATCACATTGTTCCGGGCAGCTGGAATCTTCTAAAGGCATATGGTTTATAGTATAATATTTTTGAAAAGCGATACTCATTTGCTAAGAATTACATGAAAAGTTATACTCCAATCAAATTTGGACTCTTTCAATTTGAATATATAATTATTTGTAAAAACGTGTTTTAATGAAGGTTATGTTTTCTTTCTTTTTGAATTTGAAACTTCAATTTGACTAAAGCTTTATTATAAATTTTATCAAAATATTTTTTTTCATCAATATAAATAAACATAATTCAATAATAATTATTGACGTATATTATTATTATATTTAAATTCTTACACTTGACTATTAAATATTACCATTACGTTTAATTCTTAATTATCATAAATTAATACAAACATATGAGTATCTTTAATCAATAAAAATTATTTTTTATAAGTTCGACTTATTAAAAGAAACATAATTTTATAATTCTGGCTTATTACATATATTATTTAATTTAAGAATAGAAGTTTACTTATTTTATTATAAAAAAATCTAATTTAATAAATCAATTTTTACAGTTTAAAATTCTATTTCCTCTCAATTAAAAAAGAAAAAAAAAAGAATGAATAGGATTCAATTGGTCGGATTACTTTTAACTTAAGTTGTTTATTAATTAAATATTATCATTATATTTAAATTTTTAATTATTAATTTACCTCCTCAAATAAATTTGCACTATAAATTAATACAAATCTAATAAGCCATAAACATTAATTAATGACAAAAAAAAAAAAAAAAAAAATTTCCCCCACCATCCTAAAATAAAATGTGAATTTAGACGTTTTCTAATTAATTCTTCCACTATAAATATAATTTTGATTGGTGTATTTCAGGAATTTTATATTTTATATTTTAAAGTTGTATAATATACTTATCTCATTTAAAATCATTTACTTTCCTCTGCATCGAATTTGATTTTTAAAATATAAGTTGATTTAATGAAATAAAATAGTTTAACAACAATTAAAAAATAAATAATATAATAAAATAGTTGAAAATACTTTAATTATTTAATAATAATACTAATTTTCAGGTAAGATACTAATGAAGATTTATGGAAAAGAATATCTACTCATTTTAAAGTAGTTGACCAAAATAAAACAAAATCTAGAGCTTTATTTATTTATTTATTTTTCTATTAGAAGAAATTACAACTTTAGTTAGTATTATTTTTTTCACGTAATTATGAACCCAAATAGATAGAGTTAAATATAAATTTAAAGAGGCACCTTGAACATACAGTTAAACAGATTGGTTTGAAATCTGATCCCAACTAATCCAAATGTGGTTGAATTCTAAATTGGATCCAATTAAGAGCCTTGTTTGAATCTAGGGTAGAATAGATGGTCGTATAAGAGTAGAGTGAGGGCCAGGAGTTGGAAAAATAAGGCATAATGTTTTAGTAAAAAAGTGCTTTACCAATGCTTCTATGTTCAAATACTTCGAATTTTTTTTAGAAAACTTCAAACTATTTTTAAATATTGGATAACAAATAAGTTCTTAATTTTTTTTCAAATCAATTGATGAGTACATTTGGTAGACAAATAAGAACAAAGTTTCACCTACAACAACACAAATTTGATTAAGTTATGACTTTAATTGATATACTTGTAGTAATTAATCCTGTATTGGAGATATGCATACCATGCTATATATCTTGTCATTTGAGAGAAATAGGAGAACCAAAGTTTGAAAGGAAATTGATTGAAGAGAAGAGTGAGTGGAATAATTAGAAATAGAGGACCCAAGCTTCTCATTGTCCTTTCGTTGTCTATGTTTATTCCTCCTAATGATCATTTATGTTCGGTGCCCATTAGTAGTATCGGAAGCTTGCCTTATAGTTCTTCCACTTTCATACCTTCTCTTCTTACTCCACACCTCTCTTCCATTCTTCCCTCATTTCCGGTTCACCACCAACATCTTCGTCCCTTAAATTCATTTTTACTTCCTTATTTTAGATCATTTTTAAAATATATATGCATTACTCTTTATTCAAGGAGATTTAAAAACGTGGGATTGAAGCTCATCAAGCAAACGACATACCATACAATATGATAGAAATTAGTGAAGTTGAACAACCTTGTGGTGATGTTGTAATATCCATTAAAAAAATGATGGAACAAGTGTCTCCTGCTAATGTAGAATGTAGTATCTACAGTTCCTAAATTGCTACGTAAGATGAATAATGCAGTCTATACCCCTCAAGTCATTTCCATAGGTCCATTTCATCATCGTCGAAAGGATTTGATAGCCACATAACAATATAAGTTTTGACATTGTGTTGACTTTTTAAACCATCTAGATAACAAGATGAACTCATTGGAGTTGCTAGAAGAAACTACTCAAACTTGAATAAAAAAGCTCGAAATTACTATGCAGAACTCATAAACATAATTTAGATCTTTCAGGAAAAAAATGACTGTTGTAGTGTGAGAGTGTGAAAGATATATTAATAAAAAATAAAAAATAAAGTAATTGGTGAGTTAAGAAAAAAAATGATATTTATAATAAATTTAATATAGTATTTGAGGGGGGCTTTGTGGATTAGCATAAATAGGGATGAGGGTGTTGGTGAAGGCATTGCAGACCAGACTCCAGAGTACCCTTCTACCACTGCTCCTTGTTTCTCCGTAGTTGATAATGGAGCTCTCCGCCTCTTCCAACACAAATGAGATCAGTCGAGCAGAAATAGAAAATGAAACTGGTACTTATGATCCAGTGGAAGCATCCATTAATCGTATTCTTCAACAATCTATTTCATTCTGTTCTGAAGGCGTTACCATTTACAAGGTTCCAGAACTTTTACGCAGCATCAAGCCAGAAGTTTATATGCCCACTACCATCTCTATCGGCCCTTTGCACTCTGATAGAAAAGATCTTGGAGCTAATTCATTCAAATCCATATTCCTTCGACTCTTCCTTGATTTCACCCAGCTCTCCGTGAACACGATTGTAGAAACAGTCCGAAATTTGGAACAAAGAGCTCGCTCATGTTATGCAAAATCCATGGAGATGAGCAGGGATGAATTTGTGGAGCTTCTGGTCTTGGATGCGTATTTCGTGGTCATGCATCTCATCCAATCGACGTGCTCACATTTGGATAGCCCAAAGATGACGGATTTCTTGCAATTCAATTATGAAACATCTCGTGATTTGATGCTGCTTGAAAACCAGCTTCCCTTCTTCCTTCTCCAATCTTTATACGACCTGGTCCTCCACTCAAAACCTTCACTGAATGATAAGAGTTTCATTCAAATTGTTAGTAATTATTTCTGCAACAACGATGACCAAGAGTTGCTTTTTATTGATATCAATTTACCTTTGGCTGCCAAAGTGGATCATTTTCTTGATTTAGTAAGAATACGTAAGCCTTGTTTGAATGGGGATATAACGTTCACTTCCTCAGGCATATTTTGGCCACCGAATGCCACCGAGCTTCACAAATGCGGCGTTATTTTTAGGACGGGGAGTGTCATAAAATTTAGTGACCAAGGTGGCTTTCTAGACTTCCGGAAATCAAGATATACGACGATTTTGAAAGGCGTATGAGGAACCTTATAGCTTATGAGCAATGCTATATTGGGTATGAGGATAAGAACTCGATGAGCAACTTTGCTGCGTTTATGCAGTTCTTGGTCCAGACAGACCAAGACGTCAAATTGCTAATTAAGGGAGGGATCATAGACAACAACTTGGGTAGTGTCAAAGAGGTTACCCAATTATTCAACAACCTCGGTAAGCACGTTTACCCTGGAGTCAACTACTACAGTTTTTATTGCAAAACAATGAAAGATTATTGCAAGCACCGCTGCCATCGTTGGATGACGTCGTTGCGGCGCAACTATTTCAGCACGCCATGGCTATGTGCTTCCTCCATTGCAGCCATCTTCCTCCTTGCCCTCACTTATACAAACCATCATAGCTATAGTCACTGGATTCAAACAAACTTCTTAATTGGAATTCAACAACTTATGTTTAAGTTGGGTCTATTAAATTTATATTCCAACTATCATGCTATTTTCGGTGTAATTGAGAACTCCATCTATTTGGATTCATAACTATGTGAAACAAACGCAGAAACAATGGTAATCCCAAATGAATCTAGGAAATATAAAAAGAAACTATACTTTGTACTTTCTTCTGACGAAAAAAAAATAAATAAAGCTTTTGATTTTGTTTATTTTATTTTAGTAAGATTGAATAAGAAACAATACTTTGTACTTTCTTCTTATGGAAAATAATAATAATAATAAATAAAGCTTTTGATTTTGTTTATTTTATTTTAGTAAGATTGAATAATTTTTTAGCAACAGTGTTATATCCTTCCAAAAATATGTTAATACAAGAAGAAAAGTTAGATAGATTTGTAAAATTCCACATCCATTAAAGTGGGGAATAAAACATTTCTTATAAATATGTGGAGACCCCTCTCTAACAGACGCGTTTTAAAATCGTGAGGCTAACGGAGATATGTAACGAGCTAAAATGGACAATATGTACTAGTATTTGGCTTTAGCTGTTACAAGATTGAATAACTTTTAGATCAATAAACCGTGGTCATCATATGCTTATACTAATCAATGAACATAGTCAGTCTCGTAGCAAACAAGACTAGTGCATTCATGACAACAAACCCTCTCTACAAACAACAAAGTCTATATTGTCCAGCAGTTGGAATAGAGGACCCCAATTTCTCAATCATATGGAATGGAAGACCCAACGTTTCATTGTCTAACCGTTATCTATGAAAATTTGATACAGGAATCTTTTAGATTCATGAATACTTTTGGTACAGTCATCACTTCGATTTATGAATCTATTTGGATTTATTTGGTTCATCCCCGTAGTCGTTTATAAATCATCTTTATTTATGTATGAGCGTTAGTATTATTATACTTATATAAAGGTCTATCTAGTATTGTTATGAGATAAAAAATCATTGTCATTTTGTATTTATCTAAAGGAAATTGAGAGGAATTTTATAAGTGAAATTTTGTAATAGGAAAGTGAGAGATATATTTATAAACATTTTGGTTAGAATGATTGGCTAACACTTGGATACAATAAATTTCTTTTTTTCTAAATTAGGTAAAATTTTCTCTCTTTATTCATTATGTCAGTAGGTGTGTGCCTATGACATTCTTGTTTCCGCTTTACTCCTCCATGCGATCATTTATGTAAGGCCCATCAATACAACTGTCTTAGGATATGTCGAAATAAGTGTTGAGTTTAAAGATAATTGATCAATAAAAAAAAAATTGATGGGACAACTATTGAGTTGGTCTCATAAATCTATCTTTCTTCTCTTTCAATTTTTTTCAGAATCAAGTCAAATTTCTTATTTTTGAATTTGAGGATTAAAATGCTAAACAGTTGCATTAAAGACATTTGAGGATCTAAAAGTATTCCAATCTTGTAATAGCCAAGTCCATCGATATTGTCTACTTTAACTTGTTGTGAATTGTCGTGAGTCTCACGCTTTTAAAACGCTTCTGTTACGGAGAGGTTTCCATACTCAAATAAAGAATGGTTGGTTCCATCATGCTTCAACATTGATGAAAATGATTTTATTATTCCTCCATTCATAAGTTAGCTCCAGAAGATTAAGAAATTAGAACAAATATCCAATATGTCTTGTCACTGAGTTATTGATATGGGCAGAAAAAATGTGAAATTACTTATAAAAGCTCAAATCATAATCCAAGGATGTGGATAAAAAAGTTTCATAATAGTTTAACAATCTTTCTAAATTTGTCACCGTCCAAAATAAGTTATATTCATAATCATAGTCTAACTTCATTTTAGGGCCATATGCATGAAGTAACATAAAGAATAAATAAATATGTTTGTGCTTACTTCTCTTGCACTTCAAAATACATTCCCAAAAGATGAGGGGGAACATAAAGAACCCCTCTCCCATTTTTATTTTTACTTTCAAAGAATCCTAAGTTAATTTCTTGTTTTTCATAAATGGATATTTAAAATATAAATTCAATCTCTCAAAATTTATTTTTGTGTCTAATAAATCCTTAAACTTTTGATTTAGTTATTTTAAACTTAAAAATGTCAAATAACTGTGTCCATGTGTCTAATAGATCTTTTGTATTTTTAACATTTTTTAAAATTAATGGATCTATTAGAAAATAAATTTTAAATTTGTGTCCGAATGAATTGTATTACCAAAATTTTAATTAATTAATATTATTATTATTATGAAGTTGGATTAGATTATGTTTTTAATACCAAAATTTTAATTAATTAGAGATGGGTTGACCATAAAAGTAATTGGAATCATCCTCATAAAAAAAAAAAAAAAAAAGAAATGGAGGGTTTAGTGAAAGTATATATTTTATTTTTCATTAGTTAATTGAGTTATTTTATAGTAAAAATATAAAATAAAATAAAATAGTTGATCAAATTTTAACCCAAAGTATTAATATGATATGAGGGAAAGATGTTTATAAAGAGTTAGAATTAATTGGGTTGTTAAACCTATGATAAAGGGAAGTAAAGGCAAACAAATGGCAGCCTTCCACGTATTTGGATTCTCCAATTTTGGACTTTAATAAAATGCAGAATTTTGGACTTATTAATTACTCATATGTTTATTCCGTTCTTCATTTTTAAATCATAATGTCTCTCTTTTTCTTTACTCCTTTTCCATTCTTGTTTGTCCTACAACAAACTATGCAACATTGTAAGCTACCGATCCATAAATTAAATTATATATATCATTTAATGACGTATTAATTATTGAACGACTCAAATTTTTTGAGTCATTTTATTCTATCTATTACAAATATATTCAAATTTACGGCCCATTTCACCATCTATTAGCATTCCCTCTTCTCTGTGTTCCAAATTCAGCCCATTGAAACTTCAAACCTGCTGCTTTCACTTCAGTTCTATTGTTGATAAGATACTTGTTTGTATACGTTTGAATATTTAATGATAATATTTAATTAATAGTCCATGCTAATAATTTAAATACAATGAAGATATTTAATTAATATAAAGAAGTTCAAAATCAACGGCCAATTAAGATATTAATTATTTCACATTTACATTAGTTGGATTCAAATCCACGTCTAATGTGTCGAAAAGGAAAGGGCATTGAGAGTCAATTCAAACCACAATTGAGTTTCATAAATCAATTTTTTTAAAAATAAAATAAGTAAGATATTAAAATTTAAACTTTTAATCTCAAAGTAAATGTATATTAGCTACTCGTTGAATTATGTCATTATTTTTGTATTATAAAAAAATAATGATAATAGATTTTTATTTATTGGCTCGTAGAATGTAAAATGATGACGAGTGAAAAATAGAAACAAGAATCCAAATTTATCATTATACACTTATTTAAAATTAACTATTAGTTAAACATAAATAATTCATTAAAAATAATTAAATATACTTTTAATTCTCTATTTTTTTTTTTTTTTAAAGAAAATTGAACTTGTCCTAGGTGTACTAGACACAAGTTATATCAGCGACCTATTAAATAGGTAATTGAAAATGTAAAGATTTAAGATAGATACTAACTTAAGTTAGAATACTAAATTTACATTTTGACCAATTAAGTAATTGTGGTTTGAGAGGGAGGAGAACCATAGGTTTGGGTTCTTATTTTCTTCCAAAAAGACTCTTCCTTTCTTCTCTCATTTTCGTTCTCAATCAGCATCTTCTTTCATTAAATCCGAGACAATTGAGAGAAATTTTGTAAGTATGATAGTGTGATACCGTGAGAGATACACTTGTAAACACTTTGGTTATAATGGTTGACTATCACCTGTAGAGGTAGGAGAATTTCTTTTCTTTGAACAATATAAATCTTTGTCTCTTTGTTCATTTATGTTCGTGCGTAGGTGAGTACGATAGCTCTTGCTTCCACTTCCACTACAATATAATCATTTATGTTAGGCCCATCGTAATATACCTTGGTTATCAAAAGCTTGTCTTCATATTTCTTCCACTTCCAATACCTTTCTCTTCTTACTCCACAAATATCTTATGATACGACAGAAATAAATTAGAGAGGCGAACCACTTTATGGTAATCATATTCATCGAAAAAATAATGGAACAACTATCTCCAACTATCTCCTATTATTGAGTTTACATATAATTTGAGCATAAAAAAAATTGATGTGACAACTATTACAGTCTCATAAATCTTTCTTATTTTTGGACTTATAATTAAAATGCACAATAGTTTTATAGCATAATTCATGATTAAAGACGCATACCCATAGTTATTTATGTTGCCAGTTGAAGATAGTTGGGAGGCAGTTCCACATTGACTAATTTAGGAATGTATTTTCTATTGCTACAAGACATTTTGGGGAGCTCAAAGCAAAGTCACGAGAACTTATGCTCAAAGCTGACAATATCATACTATTATAGAGAGTCGTGATTTATTACAATTTAATAGAGTGTTTGTGACCCGATATTCCTAATAGTAAGTGGATATTTATGAGATGCAAGTATGATGCATATGAAGAATGTTTGTGACCCATTGTCTGATTGTCGTTTCAATTGACATATGTTGACTCTCCCACGTGATATCACTAGTTGATGTATACGTTAGTTATCGCTATTTGCTACCAACACCTTCCTCCATCAATTTGCAGGCAAGGTACTTCTTCCTTTCTCTCCTTTTTATTTTTATTTTTTATTACTTATTTATAAATTAGTTTCTTTGAGTCGTAAAATATTCATTATTTAGTTAGTTTCTAAAGTATATATGCATTGCTATATGTTCGAGCTGATTTGAAAACGTGGATGTTACTAGTTCAAATGGAAAATAATTATATTGGATTTCATCAAGCAAGCGATATATTTTACAATATGGCAGAGATTCACGAGGTTCACCAAATTTGTGGAAATGTTGTGATGTCCCTAAGAAATAAGTTGGAACGACCGCTTCCTGTTAATGAAGAACCTAGCATCTATCGAGTTCCCAAACTGCTACACGAGATAAATAATAAAACCTATATCCCTCGAGTCATTTTCATTGATCCATTTCACTATCGTAGTCCAAATTTGATAACCACGTGTTAGTATCTATTTGGTTCATTTTAAAATTGTCTAATAAATCTTTACATCTTCAATTATGTATTTAATAGGTGGTGAACATAACATTGGGTCTAATAGACCCTTCAATTTTCTTAAAAAAAAAAAAAAAAGTAATTGTTCGATTAGACATAAATTTAAATTTATGTATTATGAAACTCGAAAATTTTAAATTTTGTCTTAATTTTAAAAATTAATAACAATTTTAAAAGTTTATGAAGTAAATAGACATAATTCATAGACTAAATTATTATATAAACAAAATTAAATTCATTTATCACAAATTTAAAAACCTTATATGGATAGCATGTGGTATACTATGTTTTTTATACATTAAACAAAAAAAAAAACATCTTTTCCTTTATTCTAAAGGTTAAATGTTAATTTGGTTCATCACAATTTAATAATAATATTAACATGGTAATATATAATAATATTAACATTGTAATATATGAGAATATTAATAGTAAAATTTATGGGAATATAGATAAATATATGTATATATTTGTAACTGATAGAATAAGATGACGAAATTTTTTAGTGATTCAACAATTGATACGTCATTAAATGATATATATAATTTAATTTATGGATCCTCGAATAATAAGAATGAAAAAGAAGTAAAGAAAAAGAGAGACATTATGATTTAAAAACGAAGAAAGGAATAAATATATGAGTAATTAATAAGTCCAAAAATTCCCACTTTTATTAAGTCCAAAATAACTCAATTAAGTAATGAAAAATAAAATATATACTTTCATTAAACCCTTAATTTCTATTTTTGGATGATGATGATTCCAATTACTTTTCCTCCCATCTCTAATTAATGGATCATTAAAAAAAAAAAAAAAAAAAAAAAAAAAAAAAAAAAAAAAAAAAAAAAAAANTGATGATTCCAATTACTTTTCCTCCCATCTCTAATTAATGGATCATTAAAAAAAAAAAAAAAAAAAAAGTAAATTTATAGGGCCTTTCTGGATTGGCATATATAGGGATGAGTTTGTTGGTGAAGGCATTGCAGACCGGACTGGAGAGTAGCCTTCTACCACTGCTCTTTGTTTGTCCGTAGTTCAAAATGGCCCCTCCCAACACAAATGAGATTGGTGAAGCAGAAACAGAAATTGAGAGAGAATTCCAAATTGATGCTGATCCAATTGGCAGTGATCCAGGGTCCATGTATCTTATTCTTCAAGAATTTGCTTCATCATCATCATCATCTAATAAAGACGTTACCATTCACAGGGTTTTGGAACCTCTGCGCATCCTCAACCCAGAAGCTTATACGCCCACTGCTATCTCTATCGGCCCTTTTCACTCCGGTAGAAAAGATCTTAAGGCTAATAAATTCAAACCTATGTACCTTCAGCAATTCCTTGAGCTCACCTCTCTCGGCCTGTCGGAGATTGTAGATATAGTCCAGAATTGGGAAGAAAAAGCTAGACGTTGTTATGCAGAATCCATGGAGATGAGCAAGGAGGAATTTGTGAAACTTCTGGTCTTGGATGCCTGTTTCGTGGTCATGCATCTCATCAGTTGGGTGTACCCAAATTTCGAGCCCAAAAACAAGGAGAATTTATGGCAATTCAGGAATGAAATATATCGTGATCTGTTGCTGCTTGAAAACCAGCTTCCTTTCTTCCTTCTCCAATCTTTATACAACCTCTTTGTCCTCTCTCAACCTTTACTGGAACTTAGTTTCATTCAAATTGTTCATCGTTATTACACCGACCACAATGACCGTGAGTTTTTTTTTATTGATATCAATCGCCGCCAAGTCGATCATTTTGTTGATTTATTAAGAATGCCTAAAACTCGTGAGTATTCCCATGAAGACTTCTCCGACTACCTATTTTGGCCACCGACTGCCACAGAGCTTCACGAATGTGGCGTTATTTTCAGGACCGGGAATGACATAAAATTTAATGACAAAAGGGGCTGTCTACAACTGCCGAAAATCAGCATAGACGATAATTTTGAAAATCGTGTGAGGAACATTATAGCTTATGAGCAATGCCATATTGACAGTGAGTTAAGGAACTCGGTGACCAACTTTACTGCGTTTATGCAGTGCTTGGTCAAGTCAAACCAAGATATGAAATTGCTGATTGAGGGAGGAATCATACTGAACTACTTGGGTGGTATCAAAGAGGTCACCCAATTATTCAGCAACCTCGGTAAGCACGTCTGCATTGGAATCAACTACTACGGTAAAGATTGCAAAGAAATGAAAACATATTGCAAGCACCGCCGCCATCGTTGGATGACGTCGTTGCGGCGCAACTATTTCAGCACGCCATGGCATTGTGCTTCCTCCATTGCGGCCATCCTCCTCCTTGCCCTCACTCTTATACAGACCATCCTGGCTGTAGTCACCGGATTCAAACAAACTTCTTAATTGAAATTCAACAACTTATGTTCAAGTTGGGTCTATTAAATTTATATTCAAACCTGGTACCATTTTCACCTTAAGTGAGAACTCATCTATCTGAGTTCATAAACCGTGATTACAAATGAATTCAAGAAATTAAAAAAAAAAAAAAAAAAAAAAAAAAAAAAAAAAANAAAAAAAAAAAAAAAAAAAAAAAAAAAAAAAAAAAAAAAAAAAAAAAAAAGTTAAAGCTTTAAATTTTGTTTGTTTTATTTGAGTGACTACTTTAAATATAGTATCTATCACCCTTCCCTTTCATAAATTGTAAAAATAAATTGATCAAAACTATTTCAACTTTTCAACTTTGGTGGGAAAGATATGATGTTTTGTTGATGGTACGTTAGAAAAGAATACTTATGAATAAAATGCGTGTTAATTAAATAATTAAAGTATTTTCAACCCTTTTATTATATTATTTAATTTTTAATTGTTGTTAACTATTTTATTTTATTAAGACTTATATTTTAAAAATCAAAGTTGTACATGGTAGAGTAAATGATGTAAAATGAGATTATACTACAGTGAATGTTGCTCATTCTAACATTTCTTTTCTTTTTTAATTGAGAGGAAATAGTGTTTTAAACCGTAAAAATTGACTCATTAAATTAGATTTTTTAAGGTAAAATAAGTAAGATATAAAAGTTTAAATTTCTATTCTTAAATTAAATAATATATATTAGTTGTTATTGGATTATGTTTAGTCAAAATTATAAAATTATGTTTCTTTTAATAAGTCGAAGTTATAAAAGATAATTTTTATTAATAAAAGATTTATTATGTTTGTAGGTAAAAAAATTAAACATAATGGTAATATTTAAATAATAGTCGAGCGTAAGAATTTAAATATAATAATAATATACATCAATGATTATTATTGAATTATGTTTATTTATATCCGTGAAAAAAAAAAAAAAGTATTATAACACTTTGGAGGTTCAAATTAAAAAAAGAAAGAAAACATAACGCTCCATTAAAATGTGTTTTACAAATACTTATATATTCAAATTCAAAGATAAAAAAGAAAGGCATGGGAGAGAAAACTTTTTTATTCTTTCGAATCCATTTACCATTACGGTTATCACAAAAATACTTTCGAAATTTCACTTATGAGGAGCAAAAACTTTAAATTAACATGTTTTCATATAATTCTTAATATTCGAATATCAGATTTCAAAAATATTTTATTACAAACCACATGCTTTTAGAAGATTTCAACTACTCGATACAGTATGATTAAGAAGATAAGAAAATGCTTTATCTAGTAAAATGACAATGGGACATTAAATTGGCATCTCGTTAGCTGTAAATTTGTTTGTGCTTGCTACTTTTTGACCAATTCACAATCTCTCTCGCACTTCAAAATACATTCTCAAACGGTCAATGAAGGGGAGCATAAAGAACCCATCTCCCCTAGTTCTTTTTACTTTCAAAAGCTATGAATCCTATGTCAATTTCTTTTTCTTCTTAAATGGGTATTTAAAATATAAATTTAATCTCTAAAAATTTATATTTTTTTATCTAATAAATTCTTAAACTTTCAATTTATTTTAATCCTTCAAAATGTCAAATATCTAAGATCCTGTGTCTAATAAATCTTTGGTATGTTTTAACATTTTTTAAAATTAATGAATCAATTGGTCAATAAATAACTTTTTTTTTTATTTTTATGATCCGTTATTCCAAATAAAGGGAATGGTTGAGCGGTAATGATATGATTAATGAGAGATGGATTTGTAATTGGAATCATCATCATCCAAAAATAGAAATGAAAGTATATATTTTATTTTTCATTACTTAAATTGAGTTATTTTGGACTTAAATAAAAGTGGGAATTTTTGGAGTTATTAATTACTCATATATTTGTTCCTTTCTTTCATTTTTAAATCATAAGGTCTCTCTTTTTCTTTACTCCTTTTCCATTCTTGTTTGTCATGCAACAGTGTAAGCTTAGGATTCATAAATTAAATTATATCTATTATTTAATGACGTATTAATGGTTGAAGGATTAAAATTTCTCGTCATTTTATTCTATTCATTACAAATATATATATATATATATATATATATATATATATATATATATATATATATATATATATATATATTTTTTTATATCCACA